CCCTAGAACATCGAGGCCTGCGTCTCAATTCGAGCCACTTTCACGAACGTCGACCATGGACTCGGTGGACTCATCTACAACTGTAACACTCGTTCCAGCAGCAAAGCCTTATCAAGAAAAGTAAGTACAATAGTTTTCAAGCCAACTGCTTTGTTTCTTCGTCTTGTCTACAAACGATTGCATCTGCGAATTGAATTGACTATGTGAAATTCAGTTCGAAAGGTACAGCGTCTACAGCGACGACTGCAAGGGTTGACCGCAGTGCACGAATGTCCTTACAGGAACGGCAAGTGCCTTTACATGACGACTTAAGTCAGGATCGCTCTGACCAGCATCAACGAGTAAGCTTTTCGCTTGAATTCAGTTGTCCCTGTGATTCAGCATATTCAAGTCATTCCTCGTCCAGCCAACATCAAAGAATGGCCGACGTCTCGACGAACCTGTTGAATCCCGTCGTGTGGCAGATGTCAAAACTGAGCAAACTACTGGTAGCCGGAGTTCAGATGAGGTATGAAAATGACACTCTACACTTGGGCACAGTTGATTCATAAATAGGACGATGTTTAGTTTTGACGAATATATGAACACAACGGACCCTAGGATAAAGGATAAAGTCTTCGCCGTTGATCAATCCCTTTTGGGATGCGGCACGCATTCTACTTCCATTCAGAATCGTAGTGGCTTATTGAATGCGATGTGGCCTATACAATGACTTGCGGGGGCCAGCCGATGTACAAGTCAGTGTTTTATCCTCCCAGACGAATCTGGTACCAATTTACCGTCTCCGGAGAGTAGTTCTGGGCCGCGCAGCCGATCCAGCATTCGACTTCAGGATTGCGCGTGTGAGGGTGGTGGTGTTGGGGTGTGGTTTCCTATGTCTGTGCCTGCAGCATTGCCACTTGCTACTACACCTCGTTCGTGCCAGTAGGTAGGCAGTCACCTAAGCACGAAACATAAAGAGCTCTTGATAGTTGAGTTACCAGCGAATAAACACCATAGGAAGTACCCCAGGTAAACCACACCGCTACCCAGTGACTATGAAATTATATAAAAGCAGGAAAGGCCGACTGTGGGCTCGGTTATGTCTAGTGCATCGACGGGTGTGGTTTAGACCTTGGACAACACTTAATCACGCATCCGTCAAGCGCGGGCTTCTCTCCATGCTGCTGGGTTTCGCCGATCTGCTCCAATTTGTACAGGTAAGAGTAGTCTACCATAACATCAATCGCGGATTGTTTTCTATATATATATCTTTGGCACGATAATATATATTCTCTGCCTAAACTGCTGTGGTGGTGTTTTTTAGGGGTGTGGGGGGGTAGCAGAGTGTACATAAAAGAAAAAAAAACGAAGTGAAATGGTCGAAAACTGAAAAGCTTCGTTCTTAAAAAGCAATTTCGAACGAGTTTCCCGTGGGCACCTGTAACCGCTACGGTAGGTGAAGCTGCATGTATGTACTGATATATCTATGCAGCCGCTTCATATCAATATCTTCGCTTCATATTTTGCTTAGCAAATGAAGCAATACGACCACCAAGAACGGTCGTCCATTTGTGGTGCGGGCGGCGTTGTGGCGTTCGGGAATGAATGTAGCATATGGACCCTACTCGTTTTTGGAGATTTATCGTGCCAACTGCCTTTAACTCATGCAAACCCTTAGAGAGGTGTGAACAGTTTGGAGGGCATTTTACTTGAATGATTCGAAAAAAATTGTGATCTATCCCGCATTTTGGAAGAATAGGCCCAAAAGAGGAAGTTGCTGAGGAGGCTTTTGCACGTGCTTTTTTATCGCTCTTACCGAGCTTTGCTTTTAAGCGCAACCGTTCTCGACCAAGTCCTACGCCGGTAGTCTCGGACATTTCGATGGACATGGGGCCATCAAGGAGTAGTACCAGGGATAGTCTCGATGAGGTGAGTTGAATGAATGCATAAATGAATTGGCTAAAAGCTCCTCTGGAACCTCTGGATCCATGGGTACGATGTGTTAGGGCATTCGCGGCAAACTCTTTCTGATTATTGCCAAAACACTCGAAAAGTCCTGGTATAACGTACCCTCTTTGCGTGGTTTTGCACTTCGCTCTATGCCCAGGCACTCTTTGTAGACTTCTTCATGCGTGTTCTGCGGAAGAGTTCAATGATTTTTTGAGCATTCAATACTTCGGCGTGTTATGAGTCTGGAAGATCAAGTATCCGCTTTGGCAGAGGAGAACGAAAACCTTACCCGAATAAATGATGAGCTGAGCAAGTTACTCGTGGAAATGGCAGACAGATTTTCGGTTGGTGGAGCTAGTACCATCATATATGTCTGGAAATATGTTTTTCTGTTCCAGAAAGATGTTAATTCATTAAAATCCGAGCTGGAGTCAGTAAAAGCTGCACAACGTCCTGATCCTTGCAATCTTCGAGTTGCACGCGAATTAGACAAAGGTTGTTTTGAAATCGTCTGGGATTTGCCAATGGTTAAATGTAAGTTATTGTTGGCCTTTTTTGTTAACTATGTTGCTTATTAAGGACTA